ACTTCTGTGCATGTGTGTTCTTAGTTGTGATTGCGCATTCGGGATTTTCTAAACAAATTCTAAGTACAGAGTTCTGTCGGTTTTAAAAGCTCTTCAGAGCTTATGTTTGTACTTGTATTGCATATACCGACTTTAAATAAAGCTTCATGTCTTTATTATGTCTCATATCTCCGAAAAGTGCCTTTGACTTTAATGTTCAAACTTTCAAACAAAAGAATTGATTCGTGTTAACTGTTCTTAATAGCGGAAAATGCGACCTAGAGGACGGCATTTTATTGGTAACACTGAGGTGTACGGCCGCACTTTCCGACCTCACTGAAGAAACGTTATCGCGAGAGTAAAGCCTAACTCCCGACATTAACTTCAACTCCTAAACTACAAAAGATAAAGACATGCAGTCTTCACCATAGTCTTGGTTTTCCTTTTGGAGTTACCTTCTCACAGTGTCTGATACACCTATTCTGAATACTTTGAATCCTAACCGATTTGACAATTATCGTCCCGAGAATGTGGGTCGATCAGCTTTTTCGGGACGACCATCTTGATCGGGACGACAATGTCCATCCGGACGGTAAATTTATTATTAAGTGATGCACACAAACTGATCTCCGCATAGTATACGACAAACCTAAATAAAGGCAACAGTAGTATACCGCTGTTCGAAATTCATCAATCGATTGAGAAAAAAACAAATCCGGGTTACAAACTAAAACTGAGGAAAACACATCAAATATAAGAGTACTACGACACAACATTAAAATGTAACACACACAGAAACGAACTATAATATAACAATGGCCATTTTCCTTTACATAAGAACATATTGTTTTCAACTAGGTCAGTTCCCCTCTACCGTACTATTCCGGACCTGACCATGTGGGCAACTTGGTGGGCGTTTCCAGAACTTGGTCAACAGAAGTGTTAAGCGAAGTCTGAGAAATTGAGAAACGTCAGGATAATGACATCACAGAGTAATTAATTTGAGCTTTTATTTAAGGCACGAGTCAATTGTGTGTATTGTCAAACATCTTTGTTTATTAATCATGATTTATTGTAATCCAATCATGAAGTTGATTAAATCATCTTACAATTGAATCAATGTAGTTCGTGTATTGCATAATTTTATTTCAACCAAACATGTATTTCATTTGAAAAATTAATGAAAAATAAACATGAAATTATTGCTAAGATAAAAACTACACAAAGTAACACGTTTTTGTTTTCTCTTTTTTTTTACCGTCTTTAATCAGACATCTCAATGTATTCTAAAGGATCTTCTGAAATAATGTGCTAAACTTCACCGAACAGTTCTTGCCTCAGTTCGGCTACGGACTCTGCTTTCTGGTGAGCGTAGTCGTAGAACATGTTGCGCAATCCTTCAACAACTGCTATACGTAGACATAGCGAGTATTCGAAAGACTTGTTGTCAGTCTTGGCTTTGTTGTACCTGTTTTGAAGTGCATCTAAAGAGTAGTTCAATTGAACAATCTGTTCACAGGCTCTCTTGAATCGACGTTCCCTCTCAACCAGGTTAGACCTCTTGTTGGGGTTTCTCATTTGTACTTTAGCTTTCATGATTGTAGTTGTTAGCACTATGAGAGTTGAAACAAGTTCTGATGATTGTTTGGAAAGGATAGCTCTTCTTAGTGACACCTGAAATTTAGAATTAATAGAATAAATAGATAAGACGCGGAATGTAATCTATCTTTTTCTCGCGGTGTATGAAAACATTTTACTGACTTACTGTTTCAAAGTTTACCCTTACATAAACGGACGATTTTTTTTTTAAATAATCGTTCAAGACGTCAATTGGCTTATGTACAAAAAAAAAATATGAAGTAGTTAATAAATAAGACGCGAAATGTAAAATGTCTTTCGTGCGGTGTGTGAAAACATTTTACTGAAATACTGTTACAAAGTTTACCCTAACTTAAATGAACGAATTTGTGTATACAAAAAATCGTTCGAGACGTCAATTGGCTTCTGTACAATAAAAAATATGATGTAGTTTATACATAAGACACGCAATGTAAACTGTCTGTCTCATTGTGGATGACAACATTTAATTGACTTACTGTTTAAAAGTGTCCCTTAATATAAATTGAAGAAAAGAAATATTAAAACTGACCTTCTCACAGTGTATCACAAACCTATACTGAATACTTTTATAAATTTTCCTTTTTATGTGACAATTTTTGTGCGGAAGCATAAGTCATCGTCCCGAAGATGCGGATCGATGACCTTTTTCGGGACGACCATCTTGATCGGGACGACAATGTCCTCCCGGATGCTAAATTTGTGATTGAGTAATGCAACAAAAACTGATCTTCGCACAGTGTATGACAAACCTCAACATACTTTATTAATACAGATCCCTCTTTTATATGCAAATAATCGTTCGAGACGGCAATTGGCTTGCACCAGTTTCAGCATCAGCTGCATCACCAACTAAAACAGTTAAGTAACATTGTATAACAACTTAAATTACTTATGGTTTGTTATTCCGCACGATAACCTTTTTCGTTACCAGTCCAAATTTCTATACAAGATATAATCAGTATATAACATAGCAATACAATGACAAATGATTCACTATTATTTTTGGAGAAAAAAAATAACATCAGTTATGTTTTTTCCTTTTTTTTCCAGAGTGAAATGGCAAAAACTATCGACCAAATGCTGGACGGCTGGCTTCAGGTAGATGAGAGAGATGTGAAAGAAGAGGTAGCGCGTCTCGAAGAACTTTTACGCTGTTAAAGGTTAGTAATAAAAGTTTTTTTCTTATTTCCTTATATATCAAACCTTTTAAACAATTATGTTTGACTACTGATCGTTTTTATGACATTATATGTAAAATGTAATATGTTGGATGCTAAAACCTATTTGTTACATTACCAATTGTTAAATTAAAAAAAAAATACGCCCTTTAGAACGTGTGTTGCCTGATAAGTACTCGTATCTTCTAATTCATCAGTAGTTAAACGCCTTATTTAAAAACAAATTGTTTTATATCAAGCAACATAGAACATTATCATAGCAGCCAGCTGAAGTGTTTATATCATTTTATCTTTTTTAGATATCATACTGGTTCCAAACGATTGAAAAATGAAGAAAGAATATTATATGTATATTATTATGTTATTTTAATAGTACTAAGTATATCGCTATTTATATGTCTGTTATAAAATGTTGTGTATAAAATGTAAATACCTGAAAAAAAAAAAAAAAAAAATATAGGCTATTTATTGTAGCAGGCAGTAGATTTATTTTGTCGGCTCAATTAAATTGTTTATAATTTTTTTTTGTATGCCACCTACACCATAAATATAGAGATATCTGTAACGTCCGCATGATAAATCAGATATAAAGGGAAATGTATGCCACCTACACCATAAAATAGAGATATATGTAACGTCCGCATGATAAATCAGATATAAAGGGAAATTCTTGTAACAAAAAGTCAGTTGAGGTTTGTCGTATACTGTAAGGAGATAAGTTTGTTTGCATCACTTTATCATAACTTTAGCGACCGGAAGGACATTGTCGTCCTCCTGAAATAGCTGGTCGTCCCGATCAAGATGGTCGTCCCGAAAAAGCTGATCAACCCGCATCTTCGAAACGACTTATGACAATTATCGTGCGGAAGCATAAGTCGTCGTCCCGAAGATGCGGTTCGATCAGCTTTTTCGGGACGACAATTTTGATCGGGACGACCAGCTGTTTCGGTACGACAATCTTGATCGTTCGGGACGACCAGCTGTTTCGGGACGACAATGTCCTACGGGATGCTTAATATGTGATCAAGTATTGCAACAAAAACTGAACTGACCATGCGAGGGCTGTATAGTCAGTCAAGGTCGTTAAAAACTCCCATCATCATCAACAAAAACTGATCTTCGCAGTGTTTGACAAACCTCAACACACTTTATTGATACAGATCCCTCATTTATATGCAAATACTCGTTCGAGACGGCAATTGGCTTATATACAATATAAACTTTCTTGCGTTGTATGAAAACATTTTATAACTTACTGTTGCAAAGTTTACCCTAACATAAATGCACGAAGGAGATCAGTTTCTTTGCATCACTTAATCATAACTTTAGCGTCCGGAAGGACATTGTCGTCCCGAAATAGCTGGTCGTCCCAATCAAAATGGTCGTCCCGAAAAAGCTGATCAACCAGCATCTTCGGGACGACTTATGCTTCCGCACGATAATTGTCACATAAAAAAGGAAAATTTATAAAAGTATTCAGAAAAGGTTTGTCATACACTGTGAGAAGGTCAGTTTATTTATATATTTCTTATCGTCCATTTATATTAGGGGAAACTTTGTAACAGTAAGTCAGTTGACTTTTGTCATACACCGCGAAATGGTCAGTTTACATTGCGTGTCTTATTTATTAACTACTTCATATTTCTTATTCTGAAGTAAATATTTTAAATATATATTTTTTTTTCGTCAGATGCATGTTTGTCGCCATTGTTTCATTGTTTATGCCAGCTCAGGGAGCTTGTCGAAGCATGTTAGAAGCACACATTTACTCATCAAGCATCCTTGTGACGTGTGTGGGAAGGTGTATAAGCGAACAGACTCCTTAATGGTTCACAAGAGGAAGTTTCATCCAGAGGTATGGAAATATCAGATTTTCGATATATAAAACATTATTGTTTTATGTTCTTACAATTTTTTCATCAAGGATAATTTCAACCCAAACATTTTACACTTAGTGTCTTCTTTTATTTAAATGTTTTGACATTGTCCAACATATACTCAGTCTATATAGAAATAACAATATGTGGTATGAGTGCCATTAGACAACTCTCCATCCAATTCACAATGTACGGCCTTCAACAAAGGAGCTTTAGCTCACACAGAACAGCAAGTTATAAAGGGCCCTAAAATGATTAGTGTAACCAACCGTCTAATCTAATATATGCTATGTGATAAGTTAACATCTGGACGAATTTTGACACAACTCCTATTCTTGTTTTATAGTTATTCAGGCAGGAAGCACAGCAGACATACACCTGCGACACGTGCCAACAAGTGTTCAGTCGGAGAAAGGAGCTACAATTCCATCTCTCCAGAAACCATCAGGTAACATTATTATAAGCACAGTTTTAAACAAATCATGCACACACTGTTACATTTTAAAATATGGATACAGTTATCACTGATTGATTAATAAAGAAGTCTTAAAAATAGTAACTTAATATTTCCATTTTTCATATACAGGCTGGAACTCCACCAACAGCAATACCTCGGCCAGCACCAGTTTCAGCATCAGCTGCATCACCAACTAAAACAGTTAAGTAACATTGTATAACAACTTAAATTACTTATGGTTTGTTATTCCGCACGATAACCTTTTTCGTTACCAGTCCAAATTTCTATGCAAGATATAATCAGTATATAACATAGCAATACAATGACACATGATTCACTATTATTTTTGAAGAAAAAAAATAACATCAGTTATGTTTTTTCCTTTTTTTTCCAGAGTGAAATGGCAAAAACTATCGACCAACTGCTGGACGGCTGGCTTCAGGTAGATGAGAGAGATGTGAAAGAAGAGGTAGCGCGTCTCGAAGAACTTTTACGCTGTTAAAGGTTAGTAATAAAAGTTTTTTTCTTATTTCCTTATATATCAAACCTTTTAAACAATTATGTTTGACTACTGATCGTTTTTATGACATTATATGTAAAATGTAATATGTTGGATGCTAAAACCTATTTGTTACATTACCAATTGTTAAATTAAAAAAAAAATACGCCCTTTAGAACGTGTGTTGCCTGATAAGTACTCGTATCTTCTTATTCATCAGTAGTTAAACGCCTTATTTAAAAACAAATTGTTTTATATCAAGCAACATAGAACATTATCATAGCAGCCAGCTGAAGTGTTTATATCATTTTATCTTTTTTAGATATCATACTGGTTCCAAACGATTGAAAAATGAAGAAAGAATATTATATGTATATTATTATGTTATTTTTATAGTACTAAGTATGTCGCTATTTATATGTCTGTTATAAAATGTTGTGTATAAAATGTAAATACCTGAAAAAAAAAAAAAAAATATAGGCTATTTATTGTAGCAGGCAGTAGATTTATTTTGTCGGCTCAATTAAATTGTTTATATTTTTTTTTTGTATGCCACCTACACCATAAATATAGAGATATCTGTAACGTCCGCATGATAAATCAGATATAAAGGGAAATGTATGCCACCTACACCATAAAATAGAGATATATGTAACGTCCGCATGATAAATCAGATATAAAGAGAAATTCTTGTAACAAAAAGTCAGTTGAGGTTTGTCGTATACTGTAAGGAGATAAGTTTGTTTGCATCACTTTATCATAACTTTAGCGACCGGAAGGACATTGTCGTCCTCCTGAAATAGCTGGTCGTCCCGATCAAGATGGTCGTCCCGAAAAAGCTGATCAACCCGCATCTTCGGAACGACTTATGACAATTATCGTGCGGAAGCATAAGTCGTCGTCCCGAAGATGCGGTTCGATCAGCTTTTTCGGGACGACAATTTTGATCGGGACGACCAGCTGTTTCGGTACGACAATCTTGATCGTTCGGGACGACCAGCTGTTTCGGGACGACAATGTCCTACCGGATGCTTAATATGTGATCAAGTATTGCAACAAAAACTGAACCGACCATGCGAGGGCTGTATAGTCAGTCAAGGTCGTTAAAAACTATCATCATCATCAACAAAAACTGATCTTCGCAGTGTTTGAAAAACCTCAACACACTTTATTGATACAGATCCCTCTTTTATATGCAAATACTCGTTCGAGACGGCAATTGGCTTATATACAATATAAACTTTCTTGCGTTGTATCAAAACATTTTATAACTTACTGTTGCAAAGTTTACCCTAACATAAATGCACGAAGGAGATCAGTTTCTTTGCATCACTTAATCATAACTTTAGCGTCCGGAAGGACATTGTCGTCCCGAAATAGCTGGTCGTCCCAATCAAAATGGTCGTCCCGAAAAAGCTGATCAACCAGCATCTTCGGGACGACTTATGCTTCCGCACGATAATTGTCACATAAAAAAGGAAAATTTATAAAAGTATTCAGAAAAGGTTTGTCATACACTGTGAGAAGGTCAGTTTATTTATATATTTCTTATCGTCCATTTATATTAGGGGAAACTTTGTAACAGTAAGTCAGTTGGCTGTTGTCATACACCGCGAAATGGTCAGTTTACATTGCGTGTCTTATTTATTAACTACTTCATATTTCTTATTCTGAAGTTAATTTTTTAAAAATATATTTTTTTTTCGTCAGATGCATGTTTGTCGCCATTGTTTCATTGTTTATGCCAGCTCAGGGAGCTTGTCGAAGCATGTTAGAAGCACACATTTACTCATCAAGCATCCTTGTGACGTGTGTGGGAAGGTGTATAAGCGAACAGACTCCTTAATGGTTCACAAGAGGAAGTTTCATCCAGAGGTATGGAAATATCAGATTTTCGATATATAAAACATTATTGTTTTATGTTCTTACAATTTTTTCATCAAGGATAATTTCAACCCAAACATTTTACACTTAGTGTCTTCTTTTATTTAAATGTTTTGACATTGTCCAACATATACTAAGTCTATATAGAAATAACAATATGTGGTATGAGTGCCATTAGACAACTCTCCATCCAATTCACAATGTACGGCCTTCAACAAAGGAGCTTTAGCTCACACAGAACAGCAAGTTATAAAGGGCCCTAAAATGATTAGTGTAACCAACCGTCTAATCTAATATATGCTATGTGATAAGTTAACATCTGGACGAATTTTGACACAACTCCTATTCTTGTTTTATAGTTATTCAGGCAGGAAGCACAGCAGACATACACCTGCGACACGTGCCAACAAGTGTTCAGTCGGAGAAAGGAGCTACAATTCCATCTCTCCAGAAACCATCAGGTAACATTATTATAAGCACAGTTTTAAACAAATCATGCACACACTGTTACATTTTAAAATATGGATACAGTTATCACTGATTGATTAATAAAGAAGTCTTAAAAATAGTAACTTAATATTTCCATTTTTCATATACAGGCTGGAACTCCACCAACAGCAATACCTCGGCCAGCACCAGTTTCAGCATCAGCTGCATCACCAACTAAAACAGTTAAGTAACATTGTATAACAACTTAAATTACTTATGGTTTGTTATTCCGCACGATAACCTTTTTCGTTACCAGTCCAAATTTCTATACAAGATATAATCAGTATATAACATAGCAATACAATGACACATGATTCACTATTATTTTTGGAGAAAAAAAATAACATCAGTTATGTTTTTTCCCTTTTTTATCAGAGTGAAATGGCAAAAACTATCGACCAACTGCTGGACGGCTGGCTTCAGGTAGATGAGAGAGATGTGAAAGAAGAGGTAGCGCGTCTCGAAGAACTTTTACGCTGTTAAAGGTTAGTAATAAAAGTTTTTTTCTTATTTCCTTATATATCAAACCTTTTAAACAATTATGTTTGACTACTGATCGTTTTTATGACATTATATGTAAAATGTAATATGTTGGATGCTAAAACCTATTTGTTACATTACCAATTGTTAAATTAAAAAAAAATACGCCCTTTAGAACGTGTGTTGCCTGATAAGTACTCGTATCTTCTAATTCATCAGTAGTTAAACGCCTTATTAAAAACAAATTGTTTTATATCAAGCAACATAGAACATTATCAAAGCAGCCAGCTGAAGTGTTTATATCATTTTATCTTTTTTAGATATCATACTGGTTCCAAACGATTGAAAAATGAAGAAAGAATATTATATGTATATTATTATGTTATTTTAATAGTACTAAGTATATCGCTATTTATATGTCTGTTATAAAATGTTGTGTATAAAATGTAAATACCTGAAAAAAAAAAAAAAAAAATATAGGCTATTTATTGTAGCAGGCAGTAGATTTATTTTGTCGGCTCAATTAAATTGTTTATAATTTTTTTTTTGTATGCCACCTACACCATAAATATAGAGATATCTGTAACGTCCGCATGATAAATCAGATATAAAGGGAAATGTATGCCACCTACACCATAAAATAGAGATATATGTAACGTCCGCATGATAAATCAGATATAAAGGGAAATTCTTGTAACAAAAAGCCAGTTGAGGTTTGTCGTATACGGTAAGGAGATAAGTTTGTTTGCATCACTTTATCATAACTTTAGCGACCGGAAGGACATTGTCGTCCTCCTGAAATAGCTGGTCGTCCCGATCAAGATGGTCGTCCCGAAAAAGCTGATCAACCCGCATCTTCGGAACGACTTATGACAATTATCGTGCGGAAGCATAAGTCGTCGTCCCGAAGATGCGGTTCGATCAGCTTTTTCGGGACGACAATTTTGATCGGGACGACCAGCTGTTTCGGTACGACAATCTTGATCGTTCGGGACGACCAGCTGTTTCGAGACGACAATGTCCTACCGGATGCTTAATATGTGATCAAGTATTGCAACAAAAACTGAACCGACCATGCGAGGGCTGTATAGTCAGTCAAGGTCGTTAAAAACTCCCATCATCATCAACAAAAACTGATCTTCGCAGTGTTTGACAAACCTCAACACACTTTATTGATACAGATCCCTCTTTTATATGCAAATACTCGGTCGAGACTGCAATTGGCTTATATACAATATAAACTTTCTTGCGTTGTATCAAAACATTTTATAACCGAAAAAGCTGATCAACCAGCATCTTCGGGACGACTTATGCTTCCGCACGATAATTGTCACATAAAAAAGGAAAATTTATAAAAGTATTCAGAAAAGGTTTGTCATACACTGTGAGAAGGTCAGTTTATTTATATATTTCTTATCGTCCATTTATATTAGGGGAAACTTTGTAACAGTAAGTCAGTTGACTGTTGTCATACACCGCGAAATGGTCAGTTTACATTGCGTGTCTTATTTATTAACTACTTCATATTTCTTATTCTGAAGTAAATATTTTAAATATATATTTTTTTTTCGTCAGATGCATGTTTGTCGCCATTGTTTCATTGTTTATGCCAGCTCAGGGAGCTTGTCGAAGCATGTTAGAAGCACACATTTACTCATCAAGCATCCTTGTGACGTGTGTGGGAAGGTGTATAAGCGAACAGACTCCTTAATGGTTCACAAGAGGAAGTTTCATCCAGAGGTATGGAAATATCAGATTTTCGATATATAAAACATTATTGTTTTATGTTCTTACAATTTTTTCATCAAGGATAATTTCAACCCAAACATTTTACACTTAGTGTCTTCTTTTATTTAAATGTTTTGACATTGTCCAACATATACTCAGTCTATATAGAAATAACAATATGTGGTATGAGTGCCATTAGACAACTCTCCATCCAATTCACAATGTACGGCCTTCAACAAAGGAGCTTTAGCTCACACAGAACAGCAAGTTATAAAGGGCCCTAAAATGATTAGTGTAACCAACCGTCTAATCTAATATATGCTATGTGATAAGTTAACATCTGGACGAATTTTGACACAACTCCTATTCTTGTTTTATAGTTATTCAGGCAGGAAGCACAGCAGACATACACCTGCGACACGTGCCAACAAGTGTTCAGTCGGAGAAAGGAGCTACAATTCCATCTCTCCAGAAACCATCAGGTAACATTATTATAAGCACAGTTTTAAACAAATCATGCACACACTGTTACATTTTAAAATATGGATACAGTTATCACTGATTGATTAATAAAGAAGTCTTAAAAATAGTAACTTAATATTTCCATTTTTCATATACAGGCTGGAACTCCACCAACAGCAATACCTCGGCCAGCACCAGTTTCAGCATCAGCTGCATCACCAACTAAAACAGTTAAGTAACATTGTATAACAACTTAAATTACTTATGGTTTGTTATTCCGCACGATAACCTTTTTCGTTACCAGTCCAAATTTCTATACAAGATATAATCAGTATATAACATAGCAATACAATGACACATGATTCACTATTATTTTTGAAGAAAAAAAATAACATCAGTTATGTTTTTTTTCCTTTTTTTTCCAGAGTGAAATGGCAAAAACTATCGACCAACTGCTGGACGGCTGGCTTCAGGTAGATGAGAGAGATGTGAAAGAAGAGGTAGCGCGTCTCGAAGAACTTTTACGCTGTTAAAGGTTAGTAATAAAAGTTTTTTTCTTATTTCCTTATATATCAAACCTTTTAAACAATTATGTTTGACTACTGATCGTTTTTATGACATTATATGTAAAATGTAATATGTTGGATCCTAAACCTATTTGTAACATTACCAATTGTTAAATTAAAAAAAAAATACGCCCTTTAGAACGTGTGTTGCCTGATAAGTACTCGTATCTTCTAATTCATCAGTAGTTAAACGCCTTATTTAAAAACAAATTGTTTTATATCAAGCAACATAGAACATTATCATAGCAGCCAGCTGAAGTGTTTATATCATTTTATCTTTTTTAGATATCATACTGGTTCCAAACGATTGAAAAATGAAGAAAGAATATTATATGTATATTATTATGTTATTTTTATAGTACTAAGTATGTCGCTATTTATATGTCTGTTATAAAATGTTGTGTATAAAATGTAAATACCTGAAAAAAAAAAAAAAAAAAATATAGGCTATTTATTGTAGCAGGCAGTAGATTTATTTTGTCGGCTCAATTAAATTGTTTATAATTTTTTTTTTGTATGCCACCTACACCATAAATATAGAGATATCTGTAACGTCCGCATGATAAATCAGATATAAAGGGAAATGTATGCCACCTACACCATAAAATAGAGATATATGTAACGTCCGCATGATAAATCAGATATAAAGGGAAATTCTTGTAACAAAAAGTCAGTTGAGGTTTGTCGTATACTGTAAGGAGATAAGTTTGTTTGCATCACTTTATCATAACTTTAGCGACCGGAAGGACATTGTCGTCCTCCTGAAATAGCTGGTCGTCCCGATCAAGATGGTCGTCCCGAAAAAGCTGATCAACCCGCATCTTCGGAACGACTTATGACAATTATCGTGCGGAAGCATAAGTCGTCGTCCCGAAGATGCGGTTCGATCAGCTTTTTCGGGACGACAATTTTGATCGGGACGACCAGCTGTTTCGGTACGACAATCTTGATCGTTCGGGACGACCAGCTGTTTCGGGACGACAATGTCCTACCGGATGCTTAATATGTGATCAAGTATTGCAACAAAAACTGAACCGACCATGCGAGGGCTGTATAGTCAGTCAAGGTCGTTAAAAACTATCATCATCATCAACAAAAACTGATCTTCGCAGTGTTTGAAAAACCTCAACACACTTTATTGATACAGATCCCTCTTTTATATGCAAATACTCGTTCGAGACGGCAATTGGCTTATATACAATATAAACTTTCTTGCGTTGTATCAAAACATTTTATAACTTACTGTTGCAAAGTTTACCCTAACATAAATGCACGAAGGAGATCAGTTTCTTTGCATCACTTAATCATAACTTTAGCGTCCGGAAGGACATTGTCGTCCCGAAATAGCTGGTCGTCCCAATCAAAATGGTCGTCCCGAAAAAGCTGATCAACCAGCATCTTCGGGACGACTTATGCTTCCGCACGATAATTGTCACATAAAAAAGGAAAATTTATAAAAGTATTCAGAAAAGGTTTGTCATACACTGTGAGAAGGTCAGTTTATTTATATATTTCTTATCGTCCATTTATATTAGGGGAAACTTTGTAACAGTAAGTCAGTTGGCTGTTGTCATACACCGCGAAATGGTCAGTTTACATTGCGTGTCTTATTTATTAACTACTTCATATTTCTTATTCTGAAGTTAATTTTTTAAAAATATATTTTTTTTTCGTCAGATGCATGTTTGTCGCCATTGTTTCATTGTTTATGCCAGCTCAGGGAGCTTGTCGAAGCATGTTAGAAGCACACATTTACTCATCAAGCATCCTTGTGGCGTGTGTGGGAAGGTGTATAAGCGAACAGACTCCTTAATGGTTCACAAGAGGAAGTTTCATCCAGAGGTATGGAAATATCAGATTTTCGATATATAAAACATTATTGTTTTATGTTCTTACAATTTTTTCATCAAGGATAATTTCAACCCAAACATTTTACACTTAGTGTCTTCTTTTTTTAAATGTTTTGACATTGTCCAACATATACTCAGTCTATATAGAAATAACAATATGTGGTATGAGTGCCATTAGACAACTCTCCATCCAATTCACAATGTACGGCCTTCAACAAAGGAGCTTTAGCTCACACAGAACAGCAAGTTATAAAGGGCCCTAAAATGATTAGTGTAACCAACCGTCTAATCTAATATATGCTATGTGATAAGTTAACATCTGGACGAATTTTGACACAACTCCTATTCTTGTTTTATAGTTATTCAGGCAGGAAGCACAGCAGACATACACCTGCGACACGTGCCAACAAGTGTTCAGTCGGAGAAAGGAGCTACAATTCCATCTCTCCAGAAACCATCAGGTAACATTATTATAAGCACAGTTTTAAACAAATCATGCACACACTGTTACATTTTAAAATATGGATACAGTTATCACTGATTGATTAATAAAGAAGTCTTAAAAATAGTAACTTAATATTTCCATTTTTCATATACAGGCTGGAACTCCACCAACAGCAATACCTCGGCCAGCACCAGTTTCAGCATCAGCTGCATCACCAACTAAAACAGTTAAGTAACATTGTATAACAACTTAAATTACTTATGGTTTGTTATTCCGCACGATAACCTTTTTCGTTACCAGTCCAAATTTCTATACAAGATATAATCAGTATATAACATAGCAATACAATGACACATGATTCACTATTATTTTTGGAGAAAAAAAAATAACATCAGTTATGTTTTTTCCTTTTTTTATCAGAGTGAAATGGCAAAAACTATCGACCAACTGCTGGACGGCTGGCTTCAGGTAGATGAGAGAGATGTGAAAGAAGAGGTAGCGCGTCTCGAAGAACTTTTACGCTGTTAAAGGTTAGTAATAAAAGTTTTTTTCTTATTTCCTTATATATCAAACCTTTTAAACAATTATGTTTGACTACTGATCGTTTTTATGACATTATATGTAAAATGTAATATGTTGGATGCTAAAACCTATTTGTTACATTACCAATTGTTAAATTAAAAAAAAAAATACGCCCTTTAGAACGTGTGTTGCCTGATAAGTACTCGTATCTTCTAATTCATCAGTAGTTAAACGCCTTATTAAAAAACAAATTGTTTTATATCAAGCAACATAGAACATTATCAAAGCAGCCAGCTGAAGTGTTTATATCATTTTATCTTTTTTAGATATCATACTGGTTCCAAACGATTGAAAAATGAAGAAAGAATATTATATGTATATTATTATGTTATTTTAATAGTACTAAGTATATCGCTATTTATATGTCTGTTATAAAATGTTGTGTATAAAATGTAAATACCTGAAAAAAAAAAAAAAAAAAATATAGGCTATTTATTGTAGCAGGCAGTAGATTTATTTTGTCGGCTCAATTAAATTGTTTATAATTTTTTTTTTGTATGCCACCTACACCATAAATATAGAGATATCTGTAACGTCCGCATGATAAATCAGATATAAAGGGAAATGTATGCCACCTACACCATAAAATAGAGATATATGTAACGTCCGCATGATAAATCAGATATAAAGGGAAATTCTTGTAACAAAAAGTCAGTTGAGGTTTGTCGTATACTGTAAGGAGATAAGTTTGTTTGCATCACTTTATCATAACTTTAGCGACCGGAAGGACATTGTCGTCCTCCTGAAATAGCTGGTCGTCCCGATCAAGATGGTCGTCCCGAAAAAGCTGATCAACCCGCATCTTCGGAACGACTTATGACAATTATCGTGCGGAAGCATAAGTCGTCGTCCCGAAGATGCGGTTCGATCAGCTTTTTCGGGACGACAATTTTGATCGGGACGACCAGCTGTTTCGGTACGACAATCTTGATCGTTCGGGACGACCAGCTGTTTCGAGACGACAATGTCCTACCGGATGCTTAATATGTGATCAAGTATTGCAACAAAAACTGAACCGACCATGCGAGGGCTGTATAGTCAGTCAAGGTCGTTAAAAACTCCCATCATCATCAACAAAAACTGATCTTCGCAGTGTTTGACAAACCTCAACACACTTTATTGATACAGATCCCTCTTTTATATGCAAATACTCGGTCGAGACTGCAATTGGCTTATATACAATATAAACTTTCTTGCGTTGTATCAAAACATTTTATAACCGAAAAAGCTGATCAACCAGCATCTTCGGGACGACTTATGCTTCCGCACGATAATTGTCACATAAAAAAGGAAAATTTATAAAAGTATTCAGAAAAGGTTTGTCATACACTGTGAGAAGGTCAGTTTATTTATATATTTCTTATCGTTCATTTATATTAGGGGAAACTTTGTAACAGTAAGTCAGTTGACTGTTGTCATACACCGCGAAATGGTCAGTTTACATTGCGTGTCTTAATTTATTAACTACTTCATATTTCTTATTCTGAAGTAAATATTTTAAATATATATGTTTTTTTCGTCAGATGCATGTTTGTCGCCATTGTTTCATTGTTTATGCCAGCTCAGGGAGCTTGTCGAAGCATGTTAGAAGCACACATTTACTCATCAAGCATCCTTGTGACGTGTGTGGGAAGGTGTATAAGCGAACAGACTCCTTAATGGTTCACAAGAGGAAGTTTCATCCAGAGGTATGGAAATATCAGATTTTCGATATATAAAACATTATTGTTTTATGTTCTTACAATTTTTTCATCAAGGATAATTTCAACCCAAACATTTTACACTTAGGTTCTTCTTTTATTTAAATGTTTTGACATTGTCCAACATATGCTCAGTCTATATAGAAATAACAATATGTGGTATGAGTGCCATTAGACAACTCTCCATCCAATTCACAATGTACGGCCTTCAACAAAGGAGCTTTAGCTCACACAGAACAGCAAGTTATAAAGGGCCCTAAAATGATTAGTGTAACCAACCGTCTAATCTAATATATGCTATGTGATAAGTTAACATCTGGACGAATTTTGACACAACTCCTATTCTTGTTTTATAGTTATTCAGGCAGGAAGCACAGCAGACATACACCTGCGACACGTGCCAACAAGTGTTCAGTCGGAGAAAGGAGCTACAATTCCATCTCTCCAGAAACCATCAGGTAACATTATTATAAGCACAGTTTTAAACAAATCATGCACACACTGTTACATTTTAAAATATGGATACAGTTATCACTGATTGATTAATAAAGAAGTCTTAAAAATAGTAACTTAATATTTCCATTTTTCATATACAGGCTGGAACTCCACCAACAGCAATACCGCGGCCAGCACCAGTTTCAGCATCAGCTGCATCACCAACTAAAACAGTTAAGTAACATTGTATAACAACTTAAATTACTTATGGTTTGTTATTCCGCACGATAACCTTTTTCGTTACCAGTCCAAATTTCTATACAAGATATAATCAGTATATAACATAGCAATACAATGACACATGATTCACTATTATTTTTGGAGAAAAAAAATAACATCAGTTATGTTTTTTCCTTTTTTTTCCAGAGTGAAATGGCAAAAACTATCGACCAACTGCTGGACGGCTGGCTTCAGGTAGATGAGAGAGATGTGAAAGAAGAGGTAGCGCGTCTCGAAGAACTTTTACGCTGTTAAAGGTTAGTAATAAAAGTGTTTTTCTTATTTCCTTATATATCAAACCTTTTAAACAATTATGTTTGACTACTGATCGTTTTTATGACATTATATGTAAAATGTAATATGTTGGATGCTAAAACCTATTTGTTACATTACCAATTGTTAAATTAAAAAAAAAATACGCCCTTTAGAACGTGTGTTGCCTGATAAGTACTCGTATCTTCTAATTCATCAGTAGTTAAACGCTTTATTTAAAAACAAATTGTTTTATATCAAGCAACATAGAACATTATCGTAGCAGCCAGCTGAAGTGTTTATATCATTTTATCTTTTTTAGATATCATACTGGTTCCAAACGATTGAAAAATGAAGAAAGAATATTATATGTATATTATTATGTTATTTTAATAGTACTAAATATATCGCTATTTATATGTCTGTTATAAAATGTTGTGTATAAAATGTAAATACGTGATCAAGTATTGCAACAAAAACTGAACCGACCATGCGAGGGCTGTATAGTCAGTCAAGGTCGTTAAAAACTCCTATCATCATCAACAAAAACTGATCTTCGCAGTGTTTGACAAACCGCAACACACTTTATTGATACAGATCCCTCTTTTATATGCAAATACTCGTTCGAGACGGCAATTGGCTTATATACAATATAAACTTTCTTGCGTTGTATCAAAACATTTTATAACTTACTGTTGCAAAGTTTACCCTAACATAAATGCACGAAGGAGATCAGTTTCTTTGCATCACTTAATCATAACTTTAGCGTCCGGAAGGACACTGTCGTCCCGAAATAGCTGGTCGTCCCAATCAAAATGGTCGTCCCGAAAAAGCTGATCAACCAGCATCTTCGGGACGACTTATGCTTCCGCACGATAATTGTCACATAAAAAAGGAAAATTTATAAAAGTATTCAGAAAAGGTTTGTCATACACTGTGAGAAGGTCAGTTTATTTATATATTTCTTATCGTCCATTTATATTAGGGGAAACTTTGTAACAGTAAGTCAGTTGACTGTTGTCATACACCGCGAAATGGTCAGTTTACATTGCGTGTCTTATTTATTAACTACTTCATATTTCTTATTCTGAAGTAAATATTTTAAATATATATTTTTTTTTCGTCAGATGCATGTTTGTCGCCATTGTTTCATTGTTTATGCCAGCTCAGGGAGCTTGTCGAAGCATGTTAGAAGCACACATTTACTCATCAAGCATCCTTGTGACGTGTGTGGGAAGGTGTATAAGCGAACAGACTCCTTAATGGTTCACAAGAGGAAGTTTCATCCAGAGGTATGGAAATATCAGATTTTCGATATATAAAACATTATTGTTTTATGTTCTTACAATTTTTTCATCAAGGATAATTTCAACCCAAACATTTTACACTTAGGTTCTTCTTTTATTTAAATGTTTTGACATTGTCCAACATATACTCAGTCTATATAGAAATAACAATATGTGGTATGAGTGCCATTAGACAACTCTCCATCCAATTCACAATGTACGGCCTTCAACAAAGGAGCTTTAGCTCACACATAACAGCAAGTTATAAAGGGCCCTAAAATGATTAGTGTAACCAACCGTCTAATCTAATATATGCTATGTGATAAGTTAACATCTTGACGAATTTTTACACAACTCCTATTCTTGTTTTATAGTTATTCAGGCAGGAAGCACAGCAGACATACACCTGCGACACGTGCCAACAAGTGTTCAGTCGGAGAAAGGAGCTACAATTCCATCTCTCCAGAAACCATCAGGTAACATTATTATAAGCACAGTTTTAAACAAATCATGCACACACTGTTACATTTTAAAATATGGATACAGTTATCAATGATTGATTAATAAAGAAGTCATAAAAATAGTAACTTAATATTTCCATTTTTCATATACAGGCTGGAACTCCACCAACAGCAATACCTCGGCCAGCACCAGTTTCAGCATCAGCTGCATCACCAACTAAAACAGTTAAGTAACATTGTATAACAACTTAAATTACTTATGGTTTGTTATTCCGCACGATAACCTTTTTCGTTACCAGTCCAAATTTCTATACAAGATATAATCAGTATATAACATAGCAATACAATGACACATGATTCACTATTATTTTTGAAGAAAAAAAATAACATCAGTTATGTTTTTTTTCCTTTTTTTTCCAGAGTGAAATGGCAAAAACTATCGACCAACTGCTGGACGGCTGGCTTCAGGTAGATGAGAGAGATGTGAAAGAAGAGGTAGCGCGTCTCGAAGAACTTTTACGCTGTTAAAGGTTAGTAATAAAAGTTTTTTTCTTATTTCCTTATATATCAAACCTTTTAAACAATTATGTTTGACTACTGATCGTTTTTATGACATTATATGTAAAATGTAATATGTTGGATCCTAAACCTATTTGTAACATTACCAATTGTTAAATTAAAAAAAAAATACGCCCTTTAGAACGTGTGTTGCCTGATAAGTACTCGTATCTTCTAATTCATCAGTAAACGCCTTATTTAAAAACAAATTGTTTTATATCAAGCAACATAGAACATTATCATAGCAGCCAGCTGAAGTGTTTATATCATTTTATCTTTTTTAGATATCATACTGGTTCCAAACGATTGAAAAATGAAGAAAGAATATTATATGTATATTATTATGTTATTTTTATAGTACTAAGTATGTCGCTATTTATATGTCTGTTATAAAATGTTGTGTATAAAATGTAAATACCTGAAAAAAAAAAAAAAAAAATATAGGCTATTTATTGTAGCAGGCAGTAGATTTATTTTGTCGGCTCAATTAAATTGTTTATAATTTTTTTTTTGTATGCCACCTACACCATAAATATAGAGATATCTGTAACGTCCGCATGATAAATCAGATATAAAGGGAAATGTATGCCACCTACACCATAAAATAGAGATATATGTAACGTCCGCATGATAAATCAGATATAAAGGGAAATTCTTGTAACAAAAAGTCAGTTGAGGTTTGTCATATACTGTAAGGAGATAAGTTTGTTTGCATCACTTTATCATAACTTTAGCGACCGGAAGGACATTGTCGTCCTCCTGAAATAGCTGGTCGTCCCGATCAAGATGGTCGTCCCGAAAAAGCTTTCTCATTTGTACTTTAGCTTTCAGAGAGCCTGTGAACAGATTGTTCAATTGAACTACTCTTTAGACGCACTTCAAAACAGGTACAACAAAGCCAAGACTGACAACAAGTTAAATCATCTCACAATTCAATCAATGTAGTTCGTGTATTGCATTATTTTATTTCAACCAAACATGTATTTCATTTGAAATATTAATGAAAAATAAACATGAGATTATTGCCAAGAAAAAACCATACACAAAGTAACACGTTTTTGTTTTCTCTTTTTTTTACCGTCTTTAATCAGACATCTCAATGTCTTCTAAAGGATCTTCTGAAATAATGTGCTAAACTTCACCGAACAGTTCTTGCCTCAGTTCGGCTACGGACTCTGCTTTCTGGTGAGCGTAGTCGTAGAATATGTTGCGCAATCCTTCAACAACTGCTATACGTAGACATAGCGAGTATTCGAAAGACTTGTTGTCAGTCTTGGCTTTGTTGTACCTGTTTTGAAGTGCGTCTAAAGAGTAGTTCAATTGAACAATCTGTTCACAGGCTCTCTTGAATCGACGTTCCCTCTCAACCAGTTTAGACCTCTTGTTGAGGTTTCTCATTTGTACTTTAGCTTTCATGATTGTAGTTGTTAGCACTATGAGAGTTGAAACAAGTTCTGATGATTGTTTAGAAAGGATAACTCTTCTTAGTGACACCTGAAATTTAGAATTAATAGAGTAAATAGATAAGACCCGGAATGTAATCTATCTTTTTCTCGCGGTGTATGAAAACATTTTACTAACTTACTGTTTCAAAGTTTAGCCTTACATAAATGGACGAATTTTTTTTTAAATAATCGTTCAAGACGTCAATTGGCTTATGTACAATTATGGGGTTAGGGTTAGGGAAGGGGCCTTGAACGAGTGTTTGACAATTGAAGTGCCCTTTGTAACTTCTGTGCATGTGTGTTCTTTGTTGTGACAGCGCATGCGTGATATTTCTTGAAATATTTCTAAGTACAGTGTTTGAAAAGTGCCTTTGACTTCAATGTTCAAACATGTGTAGAATTGATTCGAATAGAGATATTTTCTTAAAGTTAACTGTTCCGGAAAGCGGAAAAGGCGATCTAGATGACGGAAACTTATTGGTATCACTGAGGTGTACGGCGTACTTTCCTACTTCACTGAAGAAACGTTTGTGTGAGAGTAAAGCCAAACCCCGACATTAACCACAAACTCCTAAACTACAAAAACATGCAGTCTTCACCATAATCTTGGTTGTCCTTTTTTGGAAGATTTTTTAATTTTAATCCGATCGGAGCACAGGATCATGTTGAGATTTCGAAAATCGACTTTGAAAATTACCGAAAACCATAAGTGACACCCACCCTTCCAAAACTGATTTTTGAGAATTTCTAGAAAAAAACTTACTACGAAAATACAATCGGTTACCCCCAAGACTACTTATCCGTTCTAAGATAAATTAAGGCCTTCAAAATAACGATTTTAACGAATTTTGGGTTTGGGTTAGGGTTAAGGTTTGGGTTAGGGTTAGTATTTAGGTGAACATTGGGGTTAGGGTTAGGGAAGGGGCCTTGAGCGAGTGTTTGACAATTGAAGTGCCCTTTGTCTCTTCTGCGCGTGTATGCACTTTGTTGTGATAGCGCATGCGTGATATTTCGCAATTGGTAATGTAACAAATAGGTTTTAGCATAAAACTTATTAAATTTTACATATAAAGTCATAAAAACAATCAGTAGTCAAACATGATTGTTTGAAAGGTTTGATATATAAGGAAATAAGAAAACAACTTTTATTACTAACCTTCAACAGCGTAAAAGTTCTTCGAGACGCGCCCGCTCTTCTTTCACATCTCTCTCATCTACCTCGAGCCAGCCGTCCAGCAGTTAGTCGATAGTTTTTGCCATTTTACTCTGGAAAAAAAAGGAAAAAACATAACTGATGTTGTTTTTTTTTTTCAAAATTAATAGTGAATCATGTGTCATTATATTGATATATTATATAGACTGATTATATCTTGTATAGAACTTTGGACTGGTAACGAAAAAAGTTATCGTGCGGAATAGCAAACCATAAGTAATCTAAGTAGTTATACGATGGAGACAATGGTGGGGTTCCAACCTGTATATGAAAAATAGAAAAATTAAGTTAATATTTTTAAGACTTCTTTCATTAATCAATCAGTAATAACTGTATCCATATGTTAAAATGTAACAGTGTGTGCATGATTTGTTTAAAACTGCGGTAATAATAATGATACCTGATGGTTTCTGGAGAGTTGGAATTGTAACTCCTTTCTCCGTCTGAACATTTGTTGGTACGTGTCGCAGGTGTATGTCTGCTGTGCTTCCTGCCTGAATAACTATAAAACAAGAATAGGAGGTGTGTCAACATTCGTCCAGATGTTAACTTATGAAATAACATATATAAGTTAATACGGTTGGTTAAACTAGTCATTTTGGGGCCCTTTATAACTTGCTGTTCTGTGTGAGCTAAAGCTCCTTTGTTGAAGGCCGTACATTGTGAATTGGATGGAGAGTTGTCTAATGGCACTCATACCACATGTTGTTATTTCTATATAGACTGAGTATAAGTTGGACAATGTCAAAACAGTTAAATAAAAGAAGACACTAAGTGTAAAATGTTTGGGTTGAAATTATCCTTGATGAAAAAATTGTAAGAACATAAAACAATAACGTTTTATATATCGAAAATCTGATATTTCCATACCTCTGGATGAAACTTCCTCTTGTGAACCATTAAGGAGTCTGTTCGCTTATACACCTTCCCACACACGTCACAAGGATGCTTGATGAGTAAATGTGTGCTTCTAACATGCTTCGACAAGCTCCCTGAGCTGGCATAAACAATGAAACAATGGCGACAAACATGCATCTGACGAAAAAAAAATATATATTTAAAATATTTACTTCAGAATAAGAAATATGAAGTAGTTAATAAATAAGACACGCAATGTAAACTGACCATTTCGCGGTGTATGACAACAGTCAACTGACTTACTGTTACAAAGTTTCCCCTAATATAAATGGACGATAAGAAATATATAAATAAACTGACCTTCTCACAATTTTCCTTTTTTATGTGACAATTATCGTGCGGAAGCATAAGTCGTCCCGAAGATGCTGGTTGATCAGCTTTTTCGGGACGACCATTTTGATTGGGACGACCAGCTATTTCGGGACGACAATGTCCTTCCGGACGCTAAAGTTATGATTAAGTGATGCAAAGAAACTGATCTCCTTCGTGCATTTATGTTAGGGTAAACTTTGCAACAGTAAGTTATAAAATGTTTTGATACAACGCAAGAAAGTTTATATTGTATATAAGCCAATTGCCGTCTCGAACGAGTATTTGCATATAAAAGAGGGATCTGTATCAATAAAGTGTGTTGAGGTTTGTCAAACACTGCGAAGATCAGTTTTTGTTGATGATGATGGGAGTTTTTAACGACCTTGACTGACTATACAGCCCTCGCATGGTCGGTTCAGTTTTTGTTGCAATACTTGATCACATATTAAGCATCCGGTAGGACATTGTCGTCCCGAAACAGCTGGTCGTCCCGAACGATCAAGATTGTCGTACCGAAACAGCTGGTCGTCCCGATCAAAATTGTCGTCCCGAAAAAGCTGATCGAACCGCATCTTCGGGACGACGACTTATGCTTCCGCACGATAATTGTCATAAGTCGTTCCGAAGATGCGGGTTGATCAGCTTTTTCGGGACGACCATCTTGATCGGGACGACCAGCTATTTCAGGAGGACGACAATGTCCTTCCGGTCGCTAAAGTTATGATAAAGTGATGCAAACAAACTTATCTCCTTACAGTATACGACAAACCTCAACTGACTTTTTGTTACAAGAATTTCCCTTTATATCTGATTTATCATGCGGACGTTACATATATCTCTATTTTATGGTGTAGGTGGCATACATTTCCCTTTATATCTGATTTATCATGCGGACGTTACAGATATCTCTATATTTATGGTGTAGGTGGCATACAAAAAAAAAATTATAAACAATTTAATTGAGCCGACAAAATAAATCTACTGCCTGCTACAATAAATAGCCTATATTTTTTTTTTTTTTTTTTCAGGTATTTACATTTTATACACAACATTTTATAACAGACATATAAATAGCGACATACTTAGTACTATAAAAATAACATAATAATATACATATAATATTCTTTCTTCATTTTTCAATCGTTTGGAACCAGTATGATATCTAAAAAAGATAAAATGATATAAACACTTCAGCTGGCTGCTATGATAATGTTCTATGTTGCTTGATATAAAACAATTTGTTTTTAAATAAGGCGTTTAACTACTGATGAATTAGAAGATACGAGTACTTATCAGGCAACACACGTTCTAAAGGGCGTATTTTTTTTTTAATTTAACAATTGGTAATGTTACAAATAGGTTTAGGATCCAACATATTACATTTTACATATAATGTCATAAAAACGATCAGTAGTCAAACATAATTGTTTAAAAGGTTTGATATATAAGAAAATAAGAAAAAAACTTTTATTACTAACCTTTAACAGCGTAAAAGTTCTTCGAGACGCGCTACCTCTTCTTTCACATCTCTCTCATCTACCTGAAGCCAGCCGTCCAGCAGTTGGTCGATAGTTTTTGCCATTTCACTCTGGAAAAAAAAGGAAAAAAAACATAACTGATGTTATTTTTTTTCTTCAAAAATAATAGTGAATCATGTGTCATTGTATTGCTATGTTATATACTGATTATATCTTGTATAGAAATTTGGACTGGTAACGAAAAAGGTTATCGTGCGGAATAACAAACCATAAGTAATTTAAGTTGTTATACAATGTTACTTAACTGTTTTAGTTGGTGATGCAGCCGATGCTGAAACTGGTGCTGGCCGAGGTATTGCTGTTGGTGGAGTTCCAGCCTGTATATGAAAAATGGAAATATTAAGTTACTATTTTTAAGACTTCTTTATTAATCAATCATTGATAACTGTATCCATATTTTAAAATGTAACAGTGTGTGCATGATTTGTTTAAAACTGTGCTTATAATAATGTTACCTGATGGTTTCTGGAGAGATGGAATTGTAGCTCCTTTCTCCGACTGAACACTTGTTGGCACGTGTCGCAGGTGTATGTCTGCTGTGCTTCCTGCCTGAATAACTATAAAACAAGAATAGAAGTTGTGTAAAAATTCGTCAAGATGTTAACTTATCACATAGCATATATTAGATTAGACGGTTGGTTACACTAATCATTTTAGGGCCCTTTATAACTTGCTGTTCTGTGTGAGCTAAAGCTCCTTTGTTGAAGGCCGTACATTGTGAATTGGATGGAGAGTTGTCTAATGGCACTCATACCACATATTGTTATTTCTATATAGACTGAGTATATGTTGGACAATGTCAAAACATTTAAATAAAAGAAGAACCTAAGTGTAAAATGTTTGGGTTCAAATTATCCTTGATGAAAAAATTGTAAGAACATAAAACAATAATGTTTTATATATCGAAAATCTGATATTTCCATACCTCTGGATGAAACTTCCTCTTGTGAACCATTAAGGAGTCTGTTCGCTTATACACCTTCCCACACACGTCACAAGGATGCTTGATGAGTAAATGTGTGCTTCTAACATGCTTCGACAAGCTCCCTGAGCTGGCATAAACAATGAAACAATGGCGACAAACATGCATCTGACGAAAAAAAAATATATATTTAAAATATTTACTTCAGAATAAGAAATATGAAGTAGTTAATAAATAAGACACGCAATGTAAACTGACCATTTCGCGGTGTATGACAACAGTCAACTGACTTACTGTTACAAAGTTTCCCCTAATATAAATGAACGATAAGAAATATATAAATAAACTGACCTTCTCACAGTGTATGACAAACCTTTTCTGAATACTTTTATAAATTTTCCTTTTTTATGTGACAATTATCGTGCGGAAGCATAAGTCGTCCCGAAGATGCTGGTTGATCAGCTTTTTCGGGACGACCATTTTGATTGGGACGACCAGCTATTTCGGGACGACAGTGTCCTTCCGGACGCTAAAGTTATGATTAAGTGATGCAAAGAAACTGATCTCCTTCGTGCATTTATGTTAGGGTAAACTTTGCAACAGTAAGTTATAAAATGTTTTGATACAACGCAAGAAAGTTTATATTGTATATAAGCCAATTGCCGTCTCGAACGAGTATTTGCATATAAAAGAGGGATCTGTATCAATAAAGTGTGTTGAGGTTTGTCAAACACTGCGAAGATCAGTTTTTGTTGATGATGATGGGAGTTTTTAACGACCTTGACTGACTATACAGCCCTCGCATGGTCGGTTCAGTTTTTGTTGCAATACTTGATCACATATTAAGCATCCGGTAGGACATTGTCGTCCCGAAACAGCTGGTCGTCCCGAACGATCAAGATTGTCGTACCGAAACAGCTGGTCGTCCCGATCAAAATTGTCGTCCCGAAAAAGCTGATCGAACCGCATCTTCGGGACGACGACTTATGCTTCCGCACGATAATTGTCATAAGTCGTTCCGAAGATGCGGGTTGATCAGCTTTTTCGGGACGACCATCTTGATCGGGACGACCAGCTATTTCAGGAGGACGACAATGTCCTTCCGGTCGCTAAAGTTATGATAAAGTGATGCAAACAAACTTATCTCCTTACAGTATACGACAAACCTCAACTGACTTTTTGTTACAAGAATTTCCCTTTATATCTGATTTATCATGCGGACGTTACATATATCTCTATTTTATGGTGTAGGTGGCATATATTTCCCTTTATATCTGATTTATCATGCGGACGTTACAGATATCTCTATATTTATGGTGTAGGTGGCATACAAAAAAAAAATTATAAACAATTTAATTGAGCCGACAAAATAAATCTACTGCCTGCTACAATAAATAGCCTATATTTTTTTTTTTTTTTTTTTTTTTTCAGGTATTTACATTTTATACACAACATTTTATAACAGACATATAAATAGCGATATACTTAGTACTATTAAAATAACATAATAATATACATATAATATTCTTTCTTCATTTTTCAATCGTTTGGAACCAGTATGATATCTAAAAAAGATAAAATGATATAAACACTTCAGCTGGCTGCTTTGATAATGTTCTATGTTGCTTGATATAAAACAATTTGTTTTTTAATAAGGCGTTTAACTACTGATGAATTAGAAGATACGAGTACTTATCAGGCAACACACGTTCTAAAGGGCGTATTTTTTTTTTAATTTAACAATTGGTAATGTAACAAATAGGTTTTAGCATCCAACATATTACATTTTACATATAATGTCATAAAAACGATCAGTAGTCAAACATAATTGTTTAAAAGGTTTGATATATAAGGAAATAAGAAAAAAACTTTTATTACTAACCTTTAACAGCGTAAAAGTTCTTCGAGACGCGCTACCTCTTCTTTCACATCTCTCTCATCTACCTGAAGCCAGCCGTCCAGCAGTTGGTCGATAGTTTTTGCCATTTCACTCTGATAAAAAAAGGAAAAAACATAACTGATGTTATTTTTGTTCTCCAAAAATAATAGTGAATCATGTGTCATTGTATTGCTATGTTATATACTGATTATATCTTGTATAGAAATTTGGACTGGTAACGAAAAAGGTTATCGTGCGGAATAACAAACCATAAGTAATTTAAGTTGTTATACAATGTTACTTAACTGTTTTAGTTGGTGATGCAGCTGATGCTGAAACTGGTGCTGGCCGAGGTATTGCTGTTGGTGGAGTTCCAGCCTGTATATGAAAAATGGAAATATTAAGTTACTATTTTTAAGACTTCTTTATTAATCAATCAGTGATAACTGTATCCATATTTTAAAATGTAACAGTGTGTGCATGATTTGTTTAAAACTGTGCTTATAATAATGTTACCTGATGGTTTCTGGAGAGATGGAATTGTAGCTCCTTTCTCCGACTGAACACTTGTTGGCACGTGTCGCAGGTGTATGTCTGCTGTGCTTCCTGCCTGAATAACTATAAAACAAGAATAGGAGTTGTGTCAAAATTCGTCCAGATGTTAACTTATCACATAGCATATATTAGATTAGACGGTTGGTTACACTAATCATTTTAGGGCCCTTTATAACTTGCTGTTCTGTGTGAGCTAAAGCTCCTTTGTTGAAGGCCGTACATTGTGAATTGGATGGAGAGTTGTCTAATGGCACTCATACCACATATTGTTATTTCTATATAGACTGAGTATATGTTGGACAATGTCAAAACATTTAAATAAAAGAAGACACTAAGTGTAAAATGTTTGGGTTGAAATTATCCTTGATGAAAAAATTGTAAGAACATAAAACAATAATGTTTTATATATCGAAAATCTGATATTTCCATACCTCTGGATGAAACTTCCTCTTGTGAACCATTAAGGAGTCTGTTCGCTTATACACCTTCCCACACACGTCACAAGGATGCTTGATGAGTAAATGTGTGCTTCTAACATGCTTCGACAAGCTCCCTGAGCTGGCATAAACAATGAAACAATGGCGACAAACATGCATCTGACGAAAAAAACATATATATTTAAAATATTTACTTCAGAATAAGAAATATGAAGTAGTTAATAAATAAGATACGCAATGTAAACTGACCATTTCGCGGTGTATGACAACAGTCAACTGACTTACTGTTACAAAGTTTCCCCTAATATAAATGAACGATAAGAAATATATAAATAAACTGACCTTCTCACAGTGTATGACAAACCTTTTCTGAATACTTTTATAAATTTTCCTTTTTTATGTGACAATTATCGTGCGGAAGCATAAGTCGTCCCGAAGATGCTGGTTGATCAGCTTTTTCGGGACGACCATTTTGATTGGGACGACCAGCTATTTCGGGACGACAGTGTCCTTCCGGACGCTAAAGTTATGATTAAGTGATGCAAAGAAACTGATCTCCTTCGTGCATTTATGTTAGGGTAAACTTTGCAACAGTAAGTTATAAAATGTTTTGATACAACGCAAGAAAGTTTATATTGTATATAAGCCAATTGCCGTCTCGAACGAGTATTTGCATATAAAAGAGGGATCTGTATCAATAAAGTGTGTTGCGGTTTGTCAAACACTGCGAAGATCAGTTTTTGTTGATGATGATAGGAGTTTTTAACGACCTTGACTGACTATACAGCCCTCGCATGGTCGGTTCAGTTTTTGTTGCAATACTTGATCACGTATTTACATTTTATACACAACATTTTATAACAGACATATAAATAGCGATATATTTAGTACTATTAAAATAACATAATAATATACATATAATATTCTTTCTTCATTTTTCAATCGTTTGGAACCAGTATGATATCTAAAAAAGATAAAATGATATAAACACTTCAGTTGGCTGCTACGATAATGTTCTATGTTGCTTGATATAAAACAATTTGTTTTTAAATAAGGCGTTTAACTACTGATGAATTAGAAGATACGAGTACTTATCAGGCAACACACGTTCTAAAGGGCGTATTTTTTTTTTAATTTAACAATTGGTAATGTAACAAATAGGTTTTAGCATCCAACATATTACATTTTACATATAATGTCATAAAAACGATCAGTAGTCAAACATAATTGTTTAAAAGGTTTGATATATAAGGAAATAAGAAAAACACTTTTATTACTAACCTTTAACAGCGTAAAAGTTCTTCGAGACGCGCTACCTCTTCTTTCACATCTCTCTCATCTACCTGAAGCCAGCCGTCCAGCAGTTGGTCGATAGTTTTTGCCATTTCACTCTGGAAAAAAAAGGAAAAAACATAACTGATGTTATTTTTTTTCTCCAAAAATAATAGTGAATCATGTGTCATTGTATTGCTATGTTATATACTGATTATATCTTGTATAGAAATTTGGACTGGTAACGAAAAAGGTTATCGTGCGGAATAACAAACCATAAGTAATTTAAGTTGTTATACAATGTTACTTAACTGTTTTAGTTGGTGATGCAGCTGATGCTGAAACTGGTGCTGGCCGAGGTATTGCTGTTGGTGGAGTTCCAGCCTGTATATGAAAAATGGAAATATTAAGTTACTATTTTTAAGACTTCTTTATTAATCAATCAGTGATAACTGTATCCATATTTTAAAATGTAACAGTGTGTGCATGATTTGTTTAAAACTGTGCTTATAATAATGTTACCTGATGGTTTCTGGAGAGATGGAATTGTAGCTCCTTTCTCCGACTGAACACTTGTTGGCACGTGTCGCAGGTGTATGTCTGCTGTGCTTCCTGCCTGAATAACTATAAAACAAGAATAGGAGTTGTGTCAAAATTCGTCCAGATGTTAACTTATCACATAGCATATATTAGATTAGACGGTTGGTTACACTAATCATTTTAGGGCCCTTTATAACTTGCTGTTCTGTGTGAGCTAAAGCTCCTTTGTTGAAGGCCGTACATTGTGAATTGGATGGAGAGTTGTCTAATGGCACTCATACCACATATTGTTATTTCTATATAGACTGAGTATATGTTGGACAATGTCAAAACATTTAAATAAAAGAAGACCCTAAGTGTAAAATGTTTGGGTTGAAATTATCCTTGATGAAAAAATTGTAAGAACATAAAACAATAATGTTTTATATATCGAAAATCTGATATTTCCATACCTCTGGATGAAACTTCCTCTTGTGAACCATTAAGGAGTCTGTTCGCTTATACACCTTCCCACACACGTCACAAGGATGCTTGATGAGTAAATGTGTGCTTCTAACATGCTTCGACAAGCTCCCTGAGCTGGCATAAACAATGAAACAATGGCGACAAACATGCATCTGACGAAAAAAACATATATATTTAAAATATTTACTTCAGAATAAGAAATATGAAGTAGTTAATAAATTAAGACACGCAATGTAAACTGACCATTTCGCGGTGTATGACAACAGTCAACTGACTTACTGTTACAAAGTTTCCCCTAATATAAATGAACGATAAGAAATATATAAATAAACTGACCTTCTCACAGTGTATGACAAACCTTTTCTGAATACTTTTATAAATTTTCCTTTTTTATGTGACAATTATCGTGCGGAAGCATAAGTCGTCCCGAAGATGCTGGTTGATCAGCTTTTTCGGTTATAAAATGTTTTGATACAACGCAAGAAAGTTTATATTGTATATAAGCCAATTGCAGTCTCGACCGAGTATTTGCATATAAAAGAGGGATCTGTATCAATAAAGTGTGTTGAGGTTTGTCAAACACTGCGAAGATCAGTTTTTGTTGATGATGATGGGAGTTTTTAACGACCTTGACTGACTATACAGCCCTCGCATGGTCGGTTCAGTTTTTGTTGCAATACTTGATCACATATTAAGCATCCGGTAGGACATTGTCGTCTCGAAACAGCTGGTCGTCCCGAACGATCAAGATTGTCGTACCGAAACAGCTGGTCGTCCCGATCAAAATTGTCGTCCCGAAAAAGCTGATCGAACCGCATCTTCGGGACGACGACTTATGCTTCCGCACGATAATTGTCATAAGTCGTTCCGAAGATGCGGGTTGATCAGCTTTTTCGGGACGACCATCTTGATCGGGACGACCAGCTATTTCAGGAGGACGACAATGTCCTTCCGGTCGCTAAAGTTATGATAAAGTGATGCAAACAAACTTATCTCCTTACAGTATACGACAAACCTCAACTGACTTTTTGTTACAAGAATTTCCCTTTATATCTGATTTATCATGCGGACGTTACATATATCTCTATTTTATGGTGTAGGTGGCATACATTTCCCTTTATATCTGATTTATCATGCGGACGTTACAGATATCTCTATATTTATGGTGTAGGTGGCATACAAAAAAAAAAATTATAAACAATTTAATTGAGCCGACAAAATAAATCTACTGCCTGCTACAATAAATAGCCTATATTTTTTTTTTTTTTTTTTTCAGGTATTTACATTTTATACACAACATTTTATAACAGACATATAAATAGCGATATACTTAGTACTATTAAAATAACATAATAATATACATATAATATTCTTTCTTCATTTTTCAATCGTTTGGAACCAGTATGATATCTAAAAAAGATAAAATGATATAAACACTTCAGCTGGCTGCTTTGATAATGTTCTATGTTGCTTGATATAAAACAATTTGTTTTTTAATAAGGCGTTTAACTACTGATGAATTAGAAGATACGAGTACTTATCAGGCAACACACGTTCTAAAGGGCGTATTTTTTTTTTTAATTTAACAATTGGTAATGTAACAAATAGGTTTTAGCATCCAACATATTACATTTTACATATAATGTCATAAAAACGATCAGTAGTCAAACATAATTGTTTAAAAGGTTTGATATATAAGGAAATAAGAAAAAAACTTTTATTACTAACCTTTAACAGCGTAAAAGTTCTTCGAGACGCGCTACCTCTTCTTTCACTTCTCTCTCATCTACCTGAAGCCAGCCGTCCAGCAGTTGGTCGATAGTTTTTGCCATTTCACTCTGATAAAAAAAGGAAAAAACATAACTGATGTTATTTTTTTTCTCCAAAAATAATAGTGAATCATGTGTCATTGTATTGCTATGTTATATACTGATTATATCTTGTATAGAAATTTGGACTGGTAACGAAAAAGGTTATCGTGCGGAATAACAAACCATAAGTAATTTAAGTTGTTATACAATGTTACTTAACTGTTTTAGTTGGTGATGCAGCTGATGCTGAAACTGGTGCTGGCCGAGGTATTGCTGTTGGTGGAGTTCCAGCCTGTATATGAAAAATGGAAATATTAAGTTACTATTTTTAAGACTTCTTTATTAATCAATCAGTGATAACTGTATCCATATTTTAAAATGTAACAGTGTGTGCATGATTTGTTTAAAACTGTGCTTATAATAATGTTACCTGATGGTTTCTGGAGAGATGGAATTGTAGCTCCTTTCTCCGACTGAATCCTAGGTTTGTTATGCAGTTTGGTGTGTTGCTGTCAATTCAAAAATTAGAATTTTTGGGGGGAATATCACGCTTGCGCAATCACAACATTAACCCAAACTCCTAAACTACAAAAGACAAAGACATGCTGTCTTCACCATAGTCTTGGTTTCCTTTTTATGATAGATGTTTTAATTTCAATCCGATAGGAGCACAGAATCATGCTGATATCTTGAAAAGATCAACTTTGATAAGTACCGAAAACCATAACCTGAACCCGACCCTTCAGAAACTATGATTTTTGAGACGTTCGTGAAAATTCTTTATAAGAAACTACAATCAGTTACCCCCAAGACTACATATCCTTATCCGTTCAGAGATAAAGTCAGGCTTTCAAAATACTGATTTTAACGAATTTTGGGTTTGCGCTACCTTCTCACAGTGACTGATACACCTATTCTGTATGCTTTTAATCCTAATCGATGTAATAATTAGCGGCAGGAAGCATAAGTTGTCGTCCCGAGGATGCAGGTCCATCAGCTTTTTCGGGACGAACATCTGTTTCGGGACTACAATGGATTTTAATAGAGCTTTTTTTTTAAAGTTAACTGTTCCAAAAAGATAAAAATAAAAAAAGAAGATGTGGTATGATTGCCAATGAGACAACTCTCCACAATAGACAAAAACGACACAGAAATTAACAACTATAGGTCACCGTACGGCCTTCAACAATGAGTAAAGCCCATACCGCATAGTCAGCTATAAACGACCCCGAAATGACAATGTAAAACAATTCAAACTAGAAAACTTACGGCCTCATTTGTGTACAAAAAATGAACGAAAAACAAATATGTAACACATAAACAAACGACAACCACTGATTTACAGGCGATCTAGAGGATAGTTACTTATTGGTAGGCTTGCTTGTCGAAAAGTACTGCCCCTTTCAGGTCATTTTTTTTTTTTATTTCAATCCGGTCGGAGGACTGGATCATGTTGAGATTTAATAAAGATCGACTTTTAAAAGAGTTAAGCTTAAACCCGACATTAACCCCAACTCCAAAACTACAACAGATAAAGACTTTCGGTCTTCAACATAGGCTTAATCGTCGAAAATGACTACCCCTATTTTTTCATGTCAAGCAAAAAAAAAAAACAACATAGAATCATGTTGAGATTTTGAAAAGTATCAAAAACCATAACCTGACCCCCCACCAAGACCTCCAAAACTCTGATTTTTGAGAAGTTCGTGAAAAATTTGAATTCAAAAATCCTATCGGTTACCCACCTTCAAGTACCCGTTTCAAATGATAAAGTATGGCTACAAAATAACGATTGATGTTTAGGGTTTGAGTTTGGGTTAGGGTTAAGGTTGAGGTCAGGATAGGGGTCAGGGTAAATAAAGGCAACAGTAGTATACCGCTGTTCGAAACTCATAAATCGATAGAGATAAAAACAAATCCGGGTTAAAAACTAAAACTGAGGGAAACGCATCAAATATAAGAGGAGAACAACGACACAACAGAAACACAACATCAAAATGTAACACACACAGACACGAACTATAATATAACAATGGTCATTTTCCTGACTTGGTACAGGACATTTTAAGAAAAAAATGGTGGGTTGAACCTGGTTTTGTGGCATGCCAAACCTCCCGCTTTTATGGCAACGTCAAACACAATACCAAAACGACAACATCACATGACAAATAAATGGGAGAACATATAGGACAAATTAACTAAGAGTCAGGGTTAGGGTCAGTGTTAGGGTTTGAGTTGGGGTTTAGGTTAAGATTAGGGTTGAGGTCAGTGTTTTGGCTAGGGTAAGGAATTCTACGAGGGTTTTAGAGGTACCCTTTGTCACTTCTGCGCATGTCTGACCTTTGTGGTGACTGTGCATGCGTGATATTCCCCACCAAAAAAATTCTAAGTTTAGTATATGAAAATTGCCTCGGACTTCAATGTTCAAACAGGTGTAGAATGGATTCAAATAGAGATATTTTCTTAAAACTAAGTGTTCCGAAAAAACTGAAAAGACGATCTAGAGGATGAAAACTTATTCATGTCACTGAAGTATACGGCCGCACTTTCCGACCTCACTAAAGAAACGTATTTGTGAGAGTGAAGCCTAACCCGGAGATTAACTCGCAAACTACAAAAGAGAAAGACATGCAGTCTATAGACTTGTTCGTCTTAAAATATTGTCCCTGTGGGGTCGATTTTTAGATTTTAATCCAATCGGAGCACAGGTTTATACTAAGTTTTTAAAAGAGACTGAATGTGAAAAGAGTTAAGCTAAACCCCGACATTAATCCCAACTCAGATACTAGAACAGATAAAGACTTGCCGTCTTCACCATAGGCTTAATTAGTTATCAAACGTACCAGGCTTATAATTTAATACGACAGACGCGCGTTTCGTCTACATAAGACTCATCAGTGACGCTCAGATCGAAATAGTTAGAAAGCCAAACAAGTACAAAGTTGAAGAGCATTGATGACCCAAAATTCCAAAAAGTTGTGCCAAATACGGCTAAGGTTATCTTAATCGTCATAAAGTACTACCACTAATGGGCCCGATTTTTTAATGTCAAGCCGCTCGAAGCAAAAGATCATGTTGAGATTTTGAAAAGATCGACTTTAAAAAGTAAAACTTAAAGATGTTTGACAATACATTCAATTGACTCGTGCCTTAACTAGAAACTCAAATTAATTACTCTGTGATGTCATTACCATGGCGTTTCTCAATTTCTCAGACTTCGCTTAACACTTTTGAAGACCAAGTTCTGGAAACTACGACCAAGTTAGGGTTATTTTTTTAACTCAAAACATAAGAATATGTTACTAATGTCATTATTTTCTTTTTTTCTCATTATTCACTGGTTGCTGTGTTTAATTCTAGGCCATAGAGTATGTACATGATAGTTTGTTCAATGATCTGCTGTGTAATACAGGACGGGATCCAAAGTGAGTTTATTGATAGAATAATTAAATTTTAAATAGATATTTCTAAGACTTGATATACTGATACTATTATGTAGTTGTAACACAACAATCTAAATATTAACGCTCTGGTGGCTCTTCGTCCTAATTCCATGCGTATCATTATGTTTTTGATCATTTTTTAATATTTTTCCCGAACATACTTAAAACAAGTTGTGGATGACTGTGTTCAGACAAAATCAGTGAAATGAAAGTAATAACTATTAAGTCTTCAAAATTACATACCGTTTAGGATTGTCCATTTCGTGAAAGAACACAATAAGATAATTAAGATACTGTTTTAATACATTACGTAATCATGTATTTATCGTCCGGAGGGAAATTGTCGTCCCGAAAAAACTGGTCGACCCGCATCTTCGGGACGACATGTGCTTACGCAAGATAATGGTCACATGAAAAAGGAAAATGTATAAAAGTATTCAGAATAGGTTTGTCATACACTGTGAGAAGGTCACTTAATTTGTATATGTTTATCGTCCATTTATATGATGGGAGACTTGTTGAATGTTGTCATACACCGGAAAAAGGACAGTTTACATTGCGTGTCTTATTTATCAAATACCTCTTTTCAGACACAATCAGGAAAATAACTATTTAGTCTTCAAAATTACATACCATTTAGGATTGTACATTTCGTGATAGAACACAACAAAATAATTAAGATACTGTTTTAAGATCTGTTATTTCATGTTAGCAAACCGATTGGTGGCTTGTATTCGTTATATAGAAAATAAAATGCAAACTATATTATGGGAACTCAGAGCCTATTCAAATCTTAAGATAAGAGTAAAAGCATTATATTTAAAAGCAAACATTTCCTAACTAAAATTGGCAACAGTAGCAAAATATATCATGCTTATTTTCAATTTTGCTTTTTTAGACATCCATACACTAAGCCAGGACATGCCACGATTTTAGGAATGGACAACAAACAATTGAAACAAAGATTTAAAGTGTACAGGTATATACCTAAAGTAATATTTGAAATTCATAATAAATAAACTGACTCATCCTGGGTTTTTTTTTACTGGATGTACCACTATAGTGCTTTTACGTTTGGCGATCCGACATTTGGGATGGCCTACAGGATACTTAGTTAATACTTTAGGGAAATACATACATTAATCTTGTTCTTGAGAACTGCAGACAACACATGAACATTCCTTGTGAGATGCTTTTTATTGCAAACCTATGTCTTTAGATAAGTGACTATGGAAAAAACCCACATAATATGTTAAACAATTGGTGAACTGTCACTAAATATTGGACTTAATATTAGAAGTCAGATTTAGCAAACAATTTACTGCATGAACGTTTCCATTCAACAATATGAGATGCATAAACCAAAACCATAATAGATCTTGATGAGTTACACAGGTTCCTTAGCGCCATCATGTATCTCTACTTTTTAAACTTAATAAACGAAAAGAGTTAACGTTAAGCTTGTTACTTGCCTATTATTTTGTATACATGCTGATAATATTCATAACCCTGAACAAAAAAAAAGTATTGCACGAAGTTTATATATTAGTACATGCAAAAATAAAATGTTAAGTATATATTTAAAAGTATTAATATTAATGTACAACATTTCTTTTCAGATTGGCTTCCCAATATCTCGCGTATGTGCTTGTGAAGGAAGTGATAATAGGAATTCAAATAGCCGCAAACTACTCACCTTATAAATTAATTAATGCAATCTGCCAGGAAACTGAAAAAAATTTGACAACTGAAAATAGGAAGCGGAAAATACAGAGTGTAAACCAAGAATGATGTTCGCTATTGTTATTTTGTGAATGAATGTAATTATGTTATAGTTGATGAGGAATTGTTTTCTGTTT